GCCACCGTGGGCGGCCGGGTCGCTGGGGCGGGGGTGGTCGACAGCGGTTTGGGCCCCGCAGCGGCAGCAGGCGTCTCGGGCTGCTCGGTACAGGCAGCATCTTTGATCGGAGTCGCAGTCGCCAACGGTTGGGGCGGCTTGGCAGGGTTGGGCGCGACCAGGCCGGTCGCTTCCTCTGCATTCGCCGCGGCTGGCTTGACCGCAGTTGCCACAGCGTCACTCGCTGCTGCCTCCGCCCCTGACTCCGGCGCGCCTCTGGCCTCCGCTGGCTGCGCCGGCCCCGCCTCCCCCTCCCGCATCTTGCGCTTCCTTCGCCGCTCCTCCTCGTCATGCTGCTGCTGCCGCGCCTGCTGCTGCTGCCGCTCCTGCCGCGGCCCCTCCTCCCCCTCCTCCTCCTCCTGTTCCTTGGCGGCGATCACGTCTGGGGGGGAGGCGCTGTTGCTCTGCGCCGTGAGCACCCCCACCACCTCGTCCTTGAGCTGCAGCAGCTGGGCCGAGATGAAGCCGTTGTCAAAGCTCGTCAGGTTGGCCACCACCTGGGGGTGCGGGCGGGGATGCGGGGGGTGTTTGGGGAGGGGGGGTGACAGGTCACCACAGGCGGGAGGTAACGCCTGCAGCGCTTATCCTGTTTGGGTGTGTGGAGGACAGCCATCGACCCGAACCTTGAAGCCGTTCTGCTCTGCCGTCCTCTTCGCCCTCGCGACATCAGTCGCCATCACGAGAGCCCAGAGAATGCCTGGCATCTCGGCACAATGCAACCTGAGGCCACAGCCGGACGCGGGTCCCCGGGTCCCCTGCTGAGACCCCCCGCACACAATCACGCCCCACCCCCCACCTGCAGCAGCCCCTCATCCACCAGCGCCTCCACCAGCTGGACGCTGAGGTGGCGCATGCGGGGCGTTGACTGGGCCTCCTGGAAGCCCAGCTGCACCGCGTGGAGGATGAAGCACGTGGCATACGTCACCTGGGGGTTGGGTGGCGGTTGTGGTGGTGGTGGTGGGGGGAGGTTGGGGTCATGTGGAGAATGTGGTGTTGATGGGAGCGCTGGCAGGCGCGTGGGAGCAGGGACTAGAGGGGATGCAACTGGATAGGTGGAACAAGAGGCAGGTTGCTTGGCTAGGGCAGGTGCCGGCTGCAGGGTGAGGCAAGCACTAGATGCAGGCCGGCGTGCTCCCCTGCCCCATGGCAGGCCCTCTCACCAGGTCCGCGTCCAGCTGGCTGGGGCTGTCGGCTTCAAGCAGCTGGACCAGAGCGCCCACGTGGCGCGGGAACGGCCCCGGCCTCTCCCAGGCCGACTCATCGCCGGGGCTGGCCCCAGCAGCGCCGTCACCCGCACCCTCCGCGCCCTTGATACGCACAGCCGCAAGAGGCGTCCCGCAGCCCTCATTGCCGCCGTTGAAGTTGTGCATGCTGCCCGGGCGGCTGCCTGCAGTGTCGACGCAGTCCGATGCAGCTGGCGAGGGCGGCACGGGTGTGAGGCCCGCCTCGCTCGTGGCTTTGCTCGCTCCATCCGTGCCGGGCCTGGACTCGCGGTGCTGGTGCCTGCGCACAAAGTTTGTTGGGCAATTTAGAATTGTGCCTCTTGTGCTCGTTTTTGAAGTTTGAACAAAACTGGTTGACCATGCTTCGATTGAGGATTGTGCTTCATTCAGGTCTGCCCACGGCAAGCCACAGTAAATCCACGCCTTCTGCCTGCAAATTTGCCCCGCACCATGCGCCAGCTGGCGGCCTTGATGGCAGCCCCAGTAGTGCCTCCAGAGTCATGTTGTATGCCTCACTGCTGTACACCTGGGGTGCCGGGCCAAGGTGGGGGGATTGATG